TACGGCCATATCAGTTTGAAACACCGATTCCCGTATGATCACCGAAGTTAAGCAACGTCGAGCCTGGTCAGTATCTAGATGGATGACCGCTTGGAAATACCAGGTGGTGTAAGTTTGAATGTGCGAGTAATGTAATGGATAATGGCTCGGAATTGTTAATCGGTGATTAAGTTAAGCAACGTCGGGCCTGGTCAGTACCTAGATGGGTGACCGCTTGTGAATACCAAGGTTGGATGTGCGGGTGGTGTGATAGATAATGGCTCGGAAGGGCAGAGTTCCAAGTCCTGCTGTGTTCATTATATTCACATACGCAGAAATACTCTTGTGAAGGCGATGAATCTATCTTTTCTCCCTCCAGCTATGGGCTAATTAGTAAGACTTGTATCACTAAAACCATTATTATGTAAAATAGAAAGAAACAAGGCAAAAAAAAAAAAAACAATACAATACTTACAATCTAAAAATATTTTCTAGCGTTAAACGACCTACAAAATGAATGAATGAATAATAAAGAAACAAATACATACGTTCTATTTCCTATCAAATAGAAGTTCCGGCGCAATTAAATTGTTTTCTAACTCCCCCCCCCCCGCTACACACATCGAGCACAGAGCTTATTGGTTACGGCATGTTTATTATAAAATCATTTTCTCTGCGGCACTTTTATTAAACTTAATTAAAAATGAAGATTTATTTTAACCGGCTCGCTTATTTTATAAGTTGAAAAATTCCCACCGGCATTACTATTTTAGACGGCATTTGTAATTGGTACAACTGGTACAAGAATAAGAAGAAAAAAAAGTGGCTTCTTTTTTATGCAATTCCTTTTTTTGTTGCTTTTAATAAAACTGATAATATTGTCATTTGTTCTGATTGTGTTCCGTTCTTTTAAAACTGTTTACCTCGTAGATTAAAAAAAAAAGATTTCTCTGTAGATTACCTGGAGCGACATGCACCTGGTGAAGGCTGGAGAGCACAACGGCCGAAATGTTGTGATAACAACAACAAAGATAAGGACAATAGTCCGCATGTAAATAGTATAAGTAAAGATTGATATTAGTATTGAGTATTCAAGTTTCTCTGTGTTTAACTTGAAGGTTAAAAATGGTTTCTTTTTTCGATTCCTTTTTTATTGGCTTTAATAAAATTAATAATGTTCTTTTTTTTTTCTTCGATCTTTATGAATTTGCTCCATTCAACCACGGCAAGATTAATATTTCAATTTTCCACGTAGAAAAATTAATTTTAATTAATGTTTGGATTATTAATCTTAAGTACCAAATAATTACCGGCACGATTAAATAATTTCGTTCAATTTTCTGCAGACCCCCGGCGCGATTCTTATGTGGTACGGCACGCTTATTATTTTTGAAATAATTTCCTCTGCGGCACGATTATTTTGTTTTAGAACAAAAAAAAAAATCTCCCGCTAATTTCATAACTCTTTCAGGTTGTATTTGTATATGGTAGAAGAGAAGAACTTCTTTTTATTAATATGTCGAGACAACGGTATATGGGTACCCCACCAAAATTCTAGATTGCCAGAGCCTGGTCTCCCTTCTGATCTAGATCTAACAGTTCAGTGGGGGAAAAACTATCTAGTCACATTCAATGGCACAAAAAATTGTTTCTTTTGTTTGTTTGTTTGTTTGTTTGTTTTTTAACGGCATATCAACTCCTTCAGTCAGTTATGTGCCATGCGTGATACACGCCTAGGCGATCATGTATCTTTCGATACATGACTGACGAGGCAGATTTTCTCCCGCATTAGGTTGCTATTTCTTTTTGCTTTAGACCAGTTGCCATCCAAGGCTATAGAACCCGATATGTCCTGCTATTTACACATTGCTGGTTTGAGAAGACGAGGATTCATAACTTTCCCAATGGTATTAGCATGTAAGCGAATGTAATGAATTTGAATGGAATTCATTATGGGTCATTTAATGACGAAATTTAATTGAAGTATTTTGAATACAATTTTATAACTTCAACTAAATATATTTTAAACGCAATTGTATGCTTTCAACTACAGATAAAATGTATTGTTGCTCATTTTGCTATAAAACATATGATTGGTCATTTTGCTATAGAATAGTATTGCTGGTCATTTTGCTAGAAAATAGTATTGTTGGTCATTTTGCTATAGAATGTATTGTTGCTCATTTTGCTATAAAACATATTGTTTTTCACTTTGCTATAAAATGTATTGTTGGTCATTTTGCTATAAAACGTATTGTTGTTCATTTTGCTATAAAATGTATTGTTTCTCATTTTGCTATAAAACGTATTGTTGGTCATTTTGCTATAGAATAGTGTTGCTGGTCATTTTGCTATAAAACGTATTGTTGGTCATTTTGCTATGGAATAGTATTGCTGGTCATTTTGCTATAAAATCGTATTGTTGGTCATTTTGCTACAAAATTTATTGCTGGTCATTTTGCTTTAAAATTGTATTGTACGTAATTTTACTCTATGTATTGTTAGTAATCTTTCATATATATTGCTGGTATTTTTACTATAGAAATGTATTTTTATACTTTCATAGTGTTTATTTTTGTTTTGAGGTTCACTATTTGCCTAAAGCTGGGATTCTAACAGCTGCTACCCCACGGGTCAGGGTGGACTCGGGAACAACAGCAATTAAGAGGTGGTTCAACGCTCCTTAAAACCCTAACACTGGCCTTGCTGCCGAATGTAGTTTATCGTCATACCCAGGACTAAATGTCACTAAAACAAAAACAAAAAAACAAAAAAAAAACAAAAAAAAAACAAAAAAAACAATGACGTCCTTGCATTAGCGAGCGCATCCTGATTTTTCGTCTATTGCGACAAATAGCAATTATTGAACAATTATTGGGATTTTGCCGACCCGAGACCCCGTAGAACATATGATCGATACGCTAAAGATGCTGGGAAAATGGTCGCTCCAGTAAGTACCCGACTACTCCTACCCTGCCGACACGTTGTTTATTTGTTACGCTGTGTTTATTATTCTTCAAATAATTTTCTCTGCGGCACGATTTTTTTTTTAATTTATCATTTATTTTTTTTTCATTTAAAAATTTCCCGGAGGAACGTTTATTATAACCGGCACGCATATTTAACCAGTGGAAAAATTCCCGCCGGCATGACTATTTCAAACAACACTTATATTCAGTACGGAAGAGTACATACATAAACACGTTTCTGTTTGAATCTGTTTCTCTTTTTCGTTTCCTTTCTACGCCTCGACTTCTTTCTTTCTCTCCCCCACCTCTCTTTCCAATGAGTATTCGCTCACACGTATGTGCCATTTCACGTATAGTGGGAGTGACAGTAGGGAATAGAAAGAACGAAATAAACTGAAAGAGGAGAAGGAGCAGGAGGATGTAAAAAGATGAGAAAATTTTAGGTGAGCTGACATAAACATGTGCACGTGTAACCGCACATGTAAAAGCTTTTGTTTACCGACCTGGTTTGTTCTCAAAAATGTGTTTACACATGATGCGCTAAATTCGAAACAAACTACACACTTTCATGTATTACGCGTGCGCGCGAAGGTCTAAGTCGGCATACAAAAACCTAAAACAGACATGCATATGCACACGTAGTTATATATATATATATATATATATATATATATATATATATATATATATATATGATAGAAATACAGATCAAAATGGATCGGAATCTGACAGGATGATAAAATAATATTCTCTCTTTTGTCTGTTTTCTGGTGAAGCTTTAAGAAAAATTGAAACATGTTAAGTTGATAAATGTTCCTTATTTGTTCTTTGTTTTATCATATATATATATATATATATATATATATATATATATATATATATATATATATATATATATATATAGGCATATGGACATTCAAACAGCCAAGGGCTCCGGGTGTTAACTTCAATGTCCACAAATTTATATACGCTTTACTTCTGATATTGAGCACTTCAAGCCATAAATATACGATATCTTAAAACTATTTTTATATATATATATATATATATATATATATATATATATATACGATAAAAAAAGTATAATAATAATAGTAGATAAATATATATACATATACATATAAAATTGGAGTATATGATCCCGACAGCAGTCTTATATAGCCAGCTATATATATATATATATATATATATATATATATATATATATATATATATATATATATATATAATAAAAGAGGTTGTAGTGGTTCCAACAAAAGAGAAAAGTATGTATTAAAAAGAAATATTATGCTTTATTTTCCATAAGTTTACTTATTCATTATGAAAAAAATAAAGCATAATATTTAAAAAATTACAACCAAAACCGTTTGCGGCACCTCTCTTCTTTTTTAATATATATATATATATATATATATATATATATATATATATATATGTATATGTGTGTGTGTGTGTGTGTATGTATATATATATATATATATATATGTGTGTGTGTGTGTGTGTGTGTGTCTGTGTGTCTCTGTGTGGTTCTTTGAATATACCAGAAAAAGTAAATTTTATGAATTTTTATTGAGATTTCTAATGATTACCATTAAACTCAATAAAAAAATCAAATTTCCTTGTCTGCCATATTCAACAAAACACACACACACACACATATATATATATTAATGTGTATGTATATATATATATATATATATATATATATATATATATATACCTTACACACACATATACACACACATATTTATATCTATATATATATTAATGTTTATTTGAGCAGCAACCTTTCTGTGAAGCATGTTTCATTGAAAACAGCCGATAAGGAAGAATTAATTAATCTTAAATTGAGTTTTTTCATGTCTTTGGAATGGTGAATTTCCGTCTGTTAACTTATTATCTACATAGTAGTTTAGCTGTGTGGAGTTCTTGCGTACAAGTGTATCGTTTTTTGGCGGTCACGTGCTATGCGCGACTAGTTGACCTGGGCATGACGTCTATTTTTTGAAAACCTTTAACACGCCGTCACCACTGTTAAACAATGTACGATTGACAGAAGCGGAACGGTGTTTAATAAATAATGTTTCTTTAATTCTAAGTTGTCTACGACTATGTGATTTGAAAAGAATTTTCGTGTTATCGACCAGAATTTTCCTTAAGGGCC